GGCATCCAGCCCTCGGGCCATAAATTTGGCACCCCTGAGGTAGTCCCTGACTTGCAACCAGTTGTTCAGCAACTGGTTTAAAATCATGTTGTACCTGGAACATGGAAGTTATGAGACAGTTCCGAAATTCCAACGGTCAAACCCCCCCCAATCACATGACCACACTTTGGCATTCAGCAACATGGCTGCATTTCTGTCCATTTGCAGCATAACACAGTCATCTGATCACATTTTATGATGGTTTTAGATTTTAGAAATGTACAAATGGACTAAGAGCCCAAAATTTTTTAAATAAGACTTGGAAATGAATCATAAAGAATCCTTCCCAAAAGATTTTCTTTTGAATTTTAAAAATTGGACATTAGAAGGAATTAAAAGGAAGAAAGATTATGATTAAAGAAGAACACTCAAACATGACTTCATTTTACAAAACAAAGCAAAATATTTTAACACTGGATATACTGAAGAATATCTTTTAATAATGCACCAGAAATCAATTTTAAGAGTGTCTGCCTCTATAGGCAGACTATATATGGAAGAAGAACAAATTCTTCCAGAAAGAGGAGGAGGAGAACACAAGGAGTCAAAGACAGAATTTTAATGCGTTCTTACCTAGAGACAGAAATGAATCATGTTGCAAGGCACAATTGCTGAGTAGCACAGATGTCAGTTTTGGTAAAAATCTGAGTCTGCTAAGAAGATGATAGGTGGATATCCCTGCATTTGTATTTGAGGATAAATTCAGCTCCCGAAGATTTGACAAAAGAGGTATTATCTGGGCTGAAACAAAAGGTAACAAATACTAAAACCAAAAACACTTTATTTTGAATCCATTAATAGAAAACCAGCTCAAGACCTGTAAGTCTTTCATCTACTCTTTGCTTCCCTTATTTGCTTGAACACAACATTTATAAATTCTTTGAAAAATTAAATAATAGAAACAGCTTAAAATTAGAAGAAATGGAGCAATATCAATCTTAGGAGATAATGCAACTTGACCATCATAGCCAATATTGAAGAAAGCACTCACTTGAAGAGTGCCGTGTGTTGAAGTAATGATCTCATTGTGTTAAAATATATTTGACAACACATTAATGATGATTTAATTGACTAGACTGGAATATTTATCTCACTTAACCGAATAGACAAATCTATTTCTCTGCTGTAATTTTCAATAATGGCCCTGCTCTCAGCTACTTCTGCACTGAGGTATAAATTGATTGAATTGATTTGTTAAAAGCCTGGGAGAATTGATGATTCCATTTTTGCATGGGTGATAAGCACTGCTTCTCCCTGTTAAATGATTTTACAATTCATTATAAGTCATTTCCACATATTTCTTACATAAAACCAACATGTCCTTTTCTGTAATACAACACTGGTGAAGATTCAGGATTTCAAGGTTACTTAAATTGGCCAAATGACCAGCCAAAGACTGGAAAACTCCTCCAATCAATTTATTGCACGATACATCTAATATTCTCAATTCCGATAAATATTGGAAAGCAGCATCTGAAATAGGAAAGTTTTTTTATTAATTATATACTTTCTAACCATTA